TGAGCTCAAAATCCCGCGGCGCATGAGGACCAATGCTGAATGGCGCAAGAAGCGAAGCATCAACGTGATTCATCTAGATTTCTCTAGAGAAAGTCAGTTAGAATCTGTAAGATATCCCGTAATCTACATCTATTTCTAGATGAAACCGCATAAAAGCTGCAATATAGTGAAACAATACTAACAACTCACTTTGCTCACAATCTGATAAGATTTAAAGATTTGCTTCGTGCAGCACCAACAACCAGACTCAATTTGAAGATTTACCTTAGCCTAACAGGACTTGCTACACAATAGAGGGAGACAACAGTTTCGATACACCCATTCTTCATTGAGTTACATAGTAGGTTCTAGTGTAGTATAGGCTAGTGGAAACTTGGATCAATTTTTTTGCTTGCACCAAATTGGTGCTGTGAAGAGGAGTTTCGTGCACCTTTCTTCTTGTGCGGGAAGAACGATGCCTAGATTTCTCTACAGCATAGAGTTACCCCCTTTTAAACTAGAGTCCGTACGAGGTCACGTGACACTGACACGGACACATTTGAGTTTGTTGGCGGCCATTTTTAATGTGGCTAAAAAGTTTGTTTACATGTGAGTGGGCGTGTCTCTGCTCTTAGTCTTACGTGTTTTATTTGATTCTAACGTTATGTTTTGATTCAAAGCGATTCTCTTAAAGGTGCAAGCATGTGAAACCTCTTGTCCCTTTCTGGATTAACGTCTTACTGGTTCTGTCAGGCAGTTCAGTGATGTCTGTTTTCTTTTATTACATCATCTATTTTTAGTGCATAATATGCATTATAGGCACAAATAGTCACTCCGGGTTTCTTTTTTAAAACATAAAGAGCCCTCAGTAAGGTTCTGGGCCATGTGAAGTTAAGGTTGACTAGCAGCTAGATCTTTTTCACAATGGGCAGGAAATTTCTTTATATCAAACTGAAACAGTGTACTTTTTATTGTTTTGTTTTATTGAATGTTGTCCAAAAACACTTTAGTACAGGTTTTTGTTTCAGTTATCACTACACTGAGTAGAAAAACAATTGACTAGGCTACAAAAGAACTTTTATTTAAGTTAACTTTTTTATCTTTAGTGAGTCCAGAGTTGTCACAGTTGTTTTACTAATGTCCAAAATTAGATTTACTTAAAAAAGCAATAGAAGGAGCTTTAGTTTAAGTGCTGTATATGGTCTACTTTAGTTCTTAAAATCAATATAAACCAAAGTTTAATACCGACATAAGAAAACACTACCTATAATTTAGTATACTTTTTTAAAAAGTGAACATATGAATGAAAAATACAGTTTCCTCGATTTTAAAAATACCAGTAAGCCTACATGTATTCATCATTTGTTTGACTGAATTTGCTTTTTATTTATCAAGAGCTTCATTGCATTCCTACACCTAAAGGCAGAAAAACTCTGGATTTTCCCCCCTATGGCTCATCCTGATTTAATTTAATGCCACACTCATATATCTGAGGGGGGGGGGGGGGGGGGAGGGGTGTTGGTATTGGGATTCGAGATGAGAGAGAGAGGGTAGGGTGGTTAAGGGAGGTTCCCATGACACCCACATCTTTTCATACTTCTTTTTAAAAGTTCTATAGGCCCTATACGCTTTGATTCGGTCAATAAGAAATAAACCACCTCGTAGATAAAGTGCTGATGAAGAAATAATGGTTGTTGTTTTTTTCTTCTTTTTTATAAAGCCCATATCTCCCTATCTATTTAATAATACATTTATTTGTAGATCTAGTTGTAGAAAGAACGCCGTATTTTTGCAATTTAGTAATTTAGATTATAGTAGCCTACGCCACGGCGCCCATGTAAAAAAAAAAAAATCAACAAGAACCAAGCCTCGCCTGTCGCGTGTGAGAGAGAGAGAAAACATGCCTAGCCCATTGCTTTAGCATGAACTCCTTCACACAACTTGCCACAAAAACCATGGCGGACGCTGCTGTCAAATGTGGGCATCACGCAGCAAGGCGAGAGAGGGGCGTACTATAGTGTCTATAGTGTACATCTATGCTCTACAGTGACAAAATTACTTTGGTGCAAAGATTTTACCAGAGAGTTTACAGTAATACTAGAGAGACGGCACTTCGCCCGGTTGCGCGTATCTGGGTCACCAGCTGATCGTGGAGAAACGCGCGGTAAACAAAACAAACTGCGTCCATTGTTCAAGGCATTTACGTTGATCGCTGACAAGCATGGCCCCGGTTAGCACGAAGTGTCAATGGTGTTCTACTATAAACTGCACCTATTAAAATAAAAATCTGAGTTTCTTTCGATTTCCAAAGGATGACGAAATGTTGTTTTGATGAATAGAAAAATATGGATCAAAATAATGACAATATGATTGTGGTCCTACCAGACTGACACTCCAAGCACAAACTCAACACACTTCAACTTTTGAGCCTGCATTCTACTAGTGAAAGATATGTCTAAAAGTTTTCTAAATGCAAAGTGCCGTCGATCGGTCTTGGAACTTTCTTTGTCCGATTACCACTTTTTTTTTTTTGGGGG